TGGCGCGGGGCGGGGGCCCCGTGCCGCACTGCGGCGGCGGGGCCGCAGCGCGGCTTCCATTGCGCTGCCCGAGGGAGCGGGATGATCCTCTGCCACGTAGCACTCTGGCGGGGACACCCTGGCCCCGGCAAGCGAGGGGAGGCTCAGCCCCGGGCAGCAAAGGGATGGCACGAGCATGGGTGGCTCCAAACCAGGATGGGCTCCAGGCCTCTCAGCACAGCACCAGCCCCCCCAGTCCCTACCTGGCTCTTGTGGAACTGGTCCAAGCAGACAGCGCAGCTATCAATCTCGCAGGCCCAGCTCCGGGGTGGTTTGCCGGGATGGTACCGCCGGGTTTTCAGTGCTGACAGCTGCCGCCGAACGTGCTGCTTCAGGTCCAGCTGTGAAGGCAGAGCAGAGGGTCAGACCCCGGCCGTGGGTCTCCCCAGCAAGGAGCAGAGCGGAGACGTTCCCACCTCGGCATCCTGCTCCGACGGGTCTTGCCGCGACTGCCGCTGGGCCTGCACCATCACCCCGGTGCAGAGGAGCAGGGCGATCAGCAGGATGGTGTTCCACAGCTGCTGGAGATACTTCTGCAGCAACAGCACCGAGCGGGCGGTCAGGGACCGTGGCGGGGGATGAACTGGAGACCCCCACTCCACTCCCAGCACTGCCATCGCCACTGCCACCACGTGCCAGCAGCCCTGGCTATGCAGGGAGCTGGCACCGATGCACGTACCTGGACCTGCGAGCTGTTCTCCCCCGTGCAGATGACCCCCTGCCACTCCCCGTAGAGGCCCCCCCGGGAGAGGCCGCAGGTTGACCACAGGGTGAGTGTCACTCCCTGCAAGGCAGGAGACAGCATTGCTGACGGCCACGACTGCTCCTGGCGCTGCCTGAGGCCGGGGGGCCCCACGGTGCTTGGCAGATTACGTGCGTTGAGGGGAGGAGGAACCGCAGGTGGCTGCCAGCTGCCCCGCTCCCATGGAGTGAGCCTCCGGGGAAACCGAGGCACCGGCAGCTTCAACAGCCTTCGGGGATCTGGCTCCTGCTCCCTGCAGCTCGGCTTCCCCATCAGCTGGAGAAGTTCTCCCACCAGGAGAGAGAGAAGGAAAAGGACGAGGAGGAGGGCCTACATACCAGGTTCTCCAGCAGCACCGCCTGATACGTGATCTTTGCCGTAGCCCGCAGCCCCCTGCAAGCAAAAGGCGAGAAAAGTGTCAATCCCATGAGCACAGCAGGATCTGGCCCGCAGCACCCCAGCACCAGGGAGCTCCACCTTCCCCTGGGAACATGCAGCCCATGCTGAGCCACGGGTGAGGGGGCCACCGGGGAGGGAGCAACATGCAGGGGAGGTGATAGCGAGCGTCCCCCTTAGCTGTGCCCAGCCCTCTGAGCGACCCTGCACAGGTCCCTTCCTCCAGGCGCTGTGCCTCAGCTTCCCTGACTGCGACACCGCAGCAGCGACACCGATTCACCACGCAGAAGGTGGCCCGAGAGGATCCTAACGCTGTAGGTGGAAGGGATAACCATCGGCAAAGGCAGCAGGGATGCCAGTGTTGTGCTGATAACCTGACTAATTTGCACTGAGAGCCCTAAAGGGCTTGGCCAAGGCCACTGTCAGCCCCTGCCGCCGTGTGGGGACCCATGGAAGGGCTCAGGCGCCGATGAAGGAGCGGATCTGACTCACACCCTCCCTGGAAACATGTGTCCCTGCCCCAGCTGGCCTCTGCACAGCAGAGTTTGAAACCAGCCCAGCAAATGCAACACACTGTGAGAGAGGCACCGCCAAGGGCAGCCCCCAGCTGTCACAGCCAAGGAGGGGACCAGGCACAGAGCTACAGCTCTCGCCCAGCTCCCTCCCGCTGCCCCAGTCCGTACCGCAGCAGTGCTCCCAGCAGCTTGGTGACGTTGTCCGAGGACTGAATCACGATCACAGGCTTGGCAAGAAGCTGTGAAACATCCAGCTGCACCGGAGAGAAAAGCAACAGCCATCAGCAGGGCATGAGACTGGCTCAGGGACCCGCTGCCAGGACTCTCCTACCTCCCGGATGGCATTCTGGTTCAGCGCCAGGATGAGCAGGGCTGACGCCCCCAGCACCAGGGCTCGCTTCATCTGCGAAGACAAGAGGGCACAGGCTCAGATGGCAGGACAGGCAGGAGCACAGGCAGCTGAGCTGTGCCCCTGTTCAGCTCCCATCCCACTGCAGGGAGCAGGCAGCACCTGGTGCCTCTTCACCCTGACTGAAGTATCACACAGGACCCAAGAGGGGCCGGCACTGCCCGGGCACCCTGTCAGGGATCCCCCTACCACCAACCACAGGCTGGGACCCCCCACATCTGGCGAGGAGACACCCCAGGAGGTGCCCTGCAGGCTTGTGACCAGAAAATGCCACTGCAGTCCCTGGGCCAGGCAGAGGGTCACCTTGCTGACGACGGCAGCAGTGAAGGACTCCTCTTTGGCACCCCGGGGGACCTCAGCTGGCTCCTCACCCACAGGCACCACACCGATCCAGCTATCAGCAGTGCCCAGCTCGGGCTC